AGCTACTCAGGAGGCTGGGGCAAGAGAATTGTTTGAACCCAGGAGGCAGAGGTTGCAGTGAGCCAAGATGGCATGCCACTGCATTCCAGCCTGAGCAGCAGCGTGAGACCCTATCTTAAAATAAAATAAATGTAATCTAATCCAACAATAAAAAAGGATAATACACCATGACCAAATGGACCTTATCCCAGGAATGCAAAATCAGTTTAATATTCAAAAATCAAATTATGCAATTTACCACATTGATGGAGTTACAGAAAATACATATGATCATCTTAATAGATACAGTAAAAGCATTTGGCAAAATTCAATACCCACACATAATTTAAAAAAGAAAATTCTCAGCAAGCTAGGAATAGAAGAAAACTTCTGCCTGATAAAGGACACTTATGAAAAACTGAGGCTAACGTAATGCTCAGTAGTGAAAGACTAAATACTTTCTCTCAAATGTCTGAAACAAGACAAAGAAGTCCACTCTTGTCCAACATGGTACTGGAATTCCAAATCAGGACAATAAAGAAAGAAAAATAATTAACAGGCATATAGATTGGAAAAAATGAAATAAGTTATTTTTATTCACAGATGACATATTCATGTACATGGAAAATCCTAAGAAACCTACCCAAATAAAAAAGGTTCCCAGAGCTAATATGTGAGTTTAGCAATGTTGCAGCATATGAGACAAATATTCAAAAATTAACTGTACAATATTCCTATAAATAGCAATGAACACCTGGAAATTGGAATTTTAAGTTTACCATTTGCAACAGCATCAAAAGTATAAAATACTAGGATATGCATTTAACAAAATATCTATAAGACCTGTATACTGAAAACTACAAAACACAACCGGGAGAATTTTAAAAGATCTAAATAACTGGAGAGAATTCCTATATCCATGGATCAGAAGACTCAATATTAAGATGTCACATCTCCCTAAATTGAGCTATAGAGTCAATGCATCAGAATTTTTTTAAAGCAGGATTTTTTTGATAAAAAAGGATAACTTGATTCGAAAATTTATTTGGAAATGCAAGACCTGCAATAGCCAAAGGAATTTTGAAAAAGAGGAACAAAGTTGGAGGACACGCACTATCAGATTTCAAGGCTCACAGTAATTAGGACAATGTGCATTAGCTATTGGCACAGGATAGACATATAGAATGATAGAACATAGCCGGGCGCGGTGGCTCAAGCCTGTAATCCCAGCACTTTGGGAGGCCGAGGCGGGTGGATCACGAGGTCAAGAGATCGAGACCATCCTGGTCAACATGGT